GGGGGCGGGAGGCCGAGGCGCCCCAGCGGGGAGGCGGCTGGGCCAGGCCCGGGGGGCGGGGGGGGGGAGCAGGCCCTGTGCGGTGTTTAGGCCCAAACTTGTGTTTTCTTGGGAATTTGAGGAGCGGGGAAGGACGCCGGGCGGGTGAAGTCACCCTCCGGGGAAGGATGTTGGTAACAGCGGCCTGTTAAATGGCGTGTGGCTTCGGCCTGTGGCCTTGGGTTTCGCAGCCTTTGTTCCAGCCGAGCTGGTCCTGTGCGAGGTTGGGAAGTGGTTTGTTGTTACCCGTGTCCCTTACGGCCTGGTGAAAGCAGGCAGCTGGTCTGGAAACAGGACCCTTTCCTCTGGTTTAGCTGTTAGTTTGTCATAAAAAGAGGTTTTTCCCTTTTGTAAGGCACCTTCCCCCTCCAGTAGTTTCCTTCGGAAGCGGTGTGGCAAAACTTTTGCCCACCTTTGAGAGGATACTTTAAAAAATTGCATGAAGCTCCTCAAAAGGAGCAGCCTGGCTGAACGCAGTTTAGCAGATCTCAAGAATTGGAGATCTTAAGAAAACACTGAGGGGAAGGAATGGCGTTCAAGTAAAGGCTGACGTTAATAACTTGCCTGAGTAAATGGGGAAGATGGGTGTGGGATGTCTTGGTAGTGTAAAGGTAAGACTTTAAATTATGGTTATGGGATACAACGAATGTTAGTTTCTGCCTTGATCCTGCTCTGCTGGCTTATGCTCTCGCCGAGGTTTTAGTACTCAGCTGGGTGCAACTAGCAGCCTTGAGGTCTGTTTGCTTCTCATGCTTAAACATGCTCAAAAGAAGGAGGGAAAAGGGATGAGTCCTGGGACGAGTCCTGCTCATGCTTTGTCCTGTCCTGAGCTCTCAGGGCGTTTCAGCTGAAGGGCTCTGCACAGGGTTGGGGGGACGCAGTCCTTCAGAGCCATTTCTTAGTGTGAGGATGGATGAACAATGTGCTGTCATAGAAGTGTAACTGTGGAAAGTTTAGCTGTGTCTAGCTCCTGGCTACTGAAAGTAGAACACAAGCTGATCAACTTATAAAGTTGATTTTAGGATAAGAAAATATATCTCTGAAATTTGCTGGTTCCTAAGTAAATGTGTTATCACGGCCTTTGGGATTATATACAGTGAGGACCAGTTTATGTAGAAATTTTTATGATACTCCTAATAAACTCCATTTAAAACTGATTTAGACTCAGACTGCTTTGAGCCTAGGCAGAGTAAAGCCACTTCAAGGTGTTGGTTTGGTTTTTTTTTTCTTTTAATCAACAGGTTTCTGAAACTCCAGAAGTGTTTTGTGAAGTCTGGGGTTTTTTGGTTTTTTTTTTTTGGTCTTGTTGTTAGACTGCTGAAAAAGAGTTTGGGTAAAAATAATAAAGCAAATATAGAGTTTACATAGTTTGTGATAATAGGGTCAAAAATTGTTATGGGCATGGAAGAGGGGTGACAGCGAAAGGTGCCCTATTGGAAATAATCATTTGAATTCTAATATTAAAACTAAAATTACTGAACTAAATACTTACTCTTCTCTAGGCCTCAAGAGAAAGGTTGCAGTGAAAACACTACCAAATATTAAAGAAAATGTTGAAGTCACCAAAGTGAGCTATTCACGCTACCAAAGGTCTGTTAGAACTCATTCAGATACCCCGTTATTAACACTTGCTAATCCTTTATATCGGTTTGCCTGCATGAGATGTCTCTTGGAGATACGCAGTCTGAATTCTCAGTAAACTGATGTTTGTCAGAGTATTTGTTGGCACCTCATAAAGACATTTTGTAGTTTTTGTTGCCTTCGTCTCAAACTGTAGCTCTGTGTATTGAGTTTAGCTCTGTTCTTCATGGCAGTCATCAAGTGAATGCCCAAGAAACAACAGACTTGGAAAAAAAAGTGAAAGTAGAAGAAAGCACTGAACTGCTGAAGGTGAGAATGCAGTCTCACTCTTTACCTACTGGTAATTTGTGGGGGATAAATCAAAGAAATGTCATAGGTTAAATTCTTTTCCTAATCAAGAGGAATTTTCAGCGAGTTGTGTGCGCGCACACATTTTTCAGTGGTATTGGTAGCACGGGAAAACATCAATACAAATTATCCTTAATGAGGAAAGGCTGTAACAGTTGTGTTGTGTGGAAGATATCTCATTAGAGTGTGATTCCAGAGAATTGCTCACTGTTAGTTCACACAGAGACCTTTGGCGAGTCACTGTTGCGTTCTTCTTCGTGTCTATAAAACTGGAACAAAGTATTTTGAGGTGAATGAGCCTAAGTGTGTGAATACTGCTGTGGCAGGGAAATCCTTCACCAGGTGTGTCTGAACTGAAATCAGCTACAGCAAAGGGCTCAAGTGATACTGGTGTAAAAGTATGTTTTCTTTAAAATGCTAGCTCTTAGAGTTCACCAATTATTTTAATTTCCTGAAAATGCTTAGTTTCATAGAATATGCTATGTACACAAAATTGTTGTTTATGGAGCTGGTCTAGGCTTCTGAAAGTGAGCAGCAAGAATTAAGCTTCTAAAAAAAAAAAAAACCAACAAAAAAACCCCAGGGAAATTCATTACTCCCCTGCTCTCTTATGCATAACTTCAGTTGGTGTCAGTATGCCTTCACTGGAAGCCTCATCCAGCAAAGATTGTAGGATCAAACAATTGGGGTGTTCATTACGAATTTTAGAACTGTAAAGCAGATTGTAGATTTGTTAATGATATATGAAAAACCCTGGTACAAATTACACTGTGAATAGCAAGCTTAAACTGTGAAGTACCACACAGCAAGTTTCTGAGCTTCTGTTAATGTAGGAATACATTTAATTGCTTCTTTATTGACATCCAGTTTTCTCAGGTTGTTTGCATTGGTCATTTAATTTTAGGAATCCCTGATAATCAACTTTGAAAGTAAAGAAAGTTTGAAAAATACTGAAGTGACTTCAAGTGAGTATAATGGCAATACATTATATTAGTAAATATATTTTTACATCTGTATAAAATGAAATGTAAAATTCATTATATAATTTTAATTATATTTCTATAAAAGCACGGGTGTGCTGTTCCTGTACTGGTTCTGAGTGTGTGATGTTAGAAAATAAAGGTTTTGAGGCCACTGGCTGGACTTCTGCCGTATTCCAGCACGTGGTTCACGGGAGTGGCTCGCAGGCAGCACAAACAGGGTAGGAGACCTACAAGACCTGAGACAGTCTTGAGCCCAGCCTGTTGGAAACCGCATGATCTTGGTTTTGGCATTGAGAGAAGTTGTTGGGTTGAATTCTTCAGTTTACTCAAACCTTCATTTTTAAATGCTTGTGCTTAAGTAGTTTGTCCTATTGAAAACAAACCTGCCTAAGAATTACCTTGTCAGAGGCTAAATTCTTCAGGTATTTCTAGTAAACCTTGGGCAAGGAAGGTGTCTTCTGTTAGCTTATGTTAGTGTAAATTGGGCTTAAGGATGCCCCTTTTTTTTTTCTTTGAATGTATTATGATTGGTATAAGATACTGACTTGACAGTATTTAGCTCATCTCAGGAATGAAGCTTAGATCAGGAAATTCTAATGGTTTGTACAAGACAATACTTTTTTTTTTTTTTTTTGGTAGACACCTTTTTTGTCTCTTCCTCTAGGTGCAGGAATGACTCTTCCCACGGGTGTTTCAACCTTTCTGCTAGAGTGTTTAGATGTAGGTTCAACTGCAGATTATAACACAGGTACTAGTGACAGCCTGAACAGTTGCTCATCCCCTGAAACATTCAGAGATGATGGTCCAGGTGAGACTTCTGTTTTTTTGGGCTTTATTTGATGTAGAAAATGTGGGGGAACCATCTACAATAGAAGGCCTGGTGGCCTCTCTTGGTGTGACTCACCAGGTCAGATCTTTGCTGGGAGTCAGCCTGTGCTTAGCAGGGGATCTGTGTATCTGGTCCTCCAGTCCAGCGTGAATCAGGCCCTGGTGTACTTTGGATCATGCTGTAAACTTCAAGCCTTCACTGTTGACATAAGCTGGTTTTGGAGGATGACCAGCAAATCTGCTTGAGTCTCATTCCTCCCAAATTTTTCTGTGGCTGTTTGAGCCAAGGCAATGCTTTCAGTTTGCATTAAAGTTCCTGTCTTGCAAACGTGATTGTGTTTGCTCACAAATTTAATAACACAATGAATTCCAGCGTAAGCAGCTTGCAGTTTTATGTCCAGGAAGAAGTAATTTTTACGCTGAGGACTCTGTGATGTGCAAGAACTCTACTCTCCTGGACTCCAGCAAAGCAGTGTCCATAGATAAGATACCACAGATCTCAAATCTTTCAGCAATATTAGGTAATCATTTTCTACAATACTTCAGAATATATACATAAACAAATTGCACTCTAGTGCAAGGAACCTGTATAAAATATGCGATAATCATTTCATTCATGGCTTGTCTGCATAATGAGCAACAGCTCCCTGTTAGTGGTTTGTATTTGCTTCTAATATTTTGCTTTATAATTTAGTGTGCACTAAAACATTGTCTGGTCTGCTTAGCTTTTTTTTTTTTTAAAGCTTAGCTTTTATGTTTTTTAGAACCTGCACTGGGGAATTTACAAGACCAACACATTCAAAGGTAATCTGCAAAGCAGACACTTTGATGCACTTTAATGTTCCGGTTTTCTTCTTTTGAAAGATGTTTAAAAGAAAGTGCAGTATGAATAAGCCTCTGATCCTGCAAACACTTCTGTTGAGTTTTAGCCACCTATGTCCTCACTTTGAAATTGGGTGTGTTAAGTCAGGTACGAGTTTGCCTTATAGACTTTTGGTTTGGCCTTGCAGCTGTAGGGAAATAGTAGAAGCAAACTCAGAGGATTTTATGGTAGGGGAAGGTGACACTTCTTTACAGAATCCCTAAACAAGTGGCTTTTACCCAATTGCACTTACTCTGTCAGATTTCTTTGTCACAGGCAGCAAGACCTGTGTGCCCGGGTGCTCTGGGCAGGGCTGCCTGTGCAGTACAGAGTGTGAAGGGTACCTGCTGTCAAGTCCTCGTAAAGTCTCTGGCATTCTGTGCTTGTCCAGGACAGAATCAGGTTTTGGGCAGTTCTTTTATGTTCTTTAGGAATCATCAGCTTACACGGGGCACTCTTTTGCTTCAGAATCTTGCTGACTTGAGCCTTTGTAATCCTTGGGCCAGGTTGCTGCCCACTGCCAGGTTTGTCTCATCTGGAAAAGGTGTCTAGCAGGAAGCGGAGTAGGGCGTGTGATATGCTGGGACCCTGTTGCCACCCTCCTGTTGTTAGGACGCCACGTTTTCTGTTGACAAGACATCTGTGGTGTGGTTTTAGCACAGGGAAGGGTCTTCTATACTTGGCCTTGTCACAGTCCCACCTTCAGGTCCTGACATAAAAATTTGAGTAACCCGAGTGTTTTTCTAGGAACAGTATCATTCCTTTTTACCCTTGTGCTGCTGTTTCCAGGCTTACATGCAAATATTTCCATTCATAACTCATTTATACAGTGTTACAGATCTTTACACAACTCAATCTGAATTTTCTTGTGAACCTGTTTCCCCTGCATCCTACTTCAATACGTTCTGCCCTACTGTGCTTCAGTGCTGAGTACCTGAGTGAATGGTGGATCTTAAATTGCAACTATCTTCAGACTAAGTGATGTGACTTGATGATAAACTATCAAATAACTGTAAAGTGTGATGAAGTAACTGAGTAACAATATTTTTAAAAATAAGCTTTATCCCTTTTCACTCTGTTTTTTCCTATTATTTCCTCATACATTGTTTTTTGAACATTAATATTAATTCAGAATGGTTGTTCACTTCTTTTTTTCCTCCTCTCCTAGAAAGAGACCACCAAGTAGCAATTACAGTTTTTCAGCATTAAGTGTTTCAACTACTCTGGCAGGTAACCTGTGACCTGAAGCCACTGTGAGACAACAGAATATTTGACCCAGACTTAAATGATGGCAAAATACCAGAACCAGGCTTCCACTGGGTCATTTGTCCCCCTGGCACAGGCGAAGCTCAGCTGTGTCTAGAAGGAAAAGTGTGAATTGAAAATCTTCCCTGTAAATAAGACTTGGTTCTAATTAACATGTTAGGAGAAGAACAAAAAAACGCCAAACCCTGCGTTTTTCCACCTAATCACCGGTGACGATCAGTGAAAATTAGCCTTTCTTATTTAACTTATGCAGGAACAGAACTGTTAGTGTCATGCTCCTTACTTGAACTTCTTTCATATCAGCTTCACAAACACTGTGAGGAGTCTCTCATGTAACTACAGTTCTGAACTGTGATTGATGCAATTCTGGCTGGGGCCCAGGTACCACATCATTTTCCCCTCCTTAATTTGGACTAATAGCAGCAGGAGCTGCCACTGGCAAAGCTTGCTGTGATTATGCAGTTCCTCTGCTCCCACAGTGTGTGTGTCTAGCAGTAAATAGCCGGGTGAACGCAGGATTAATAAGCAACCTTGTTTCCTCAAGCGAAGGGAGAGGAGTAAAGCAGCCCTGTAGGTGGGGAGAGGGAGATTGTACTGAGGGGAGGAAGTGTGTTCACATGGGTGGCTTTGGAATGATCCCTCTTTGAAAACCATCCTGTAAGACATGGGTTGGAGAGTTGCTCTTTGTCTCAAAGTTAATTAATTTGTTGGAAATTTATCACAGGAAAAAAAGTCTGTAAAATTAGAGCTTCAAGAGAGAGAACTCCAGACCCCGAAAGTGGTATGCGCTGTTCTTCACCGTTAGGACTGGAAAGAAAGGTGAAAGATCCTTAATAAATCAGGCAGGTTGTAACATAAATGACTTGCTCTTTCCTTGAGTAGGTGGAGGATTCCACCTAGAAGCATAGCAGTTCCCGTGAAAGGGTGCCTGCAGACAGTGGCAGAGTGAAATGTAGCTGGTCTCTCCCTCGGGGTAGCAGTAACAGCCACGGGTGCCCACTAAGCTCCACATTTTCAGACTGAATCTGTCAGTGGTACCCAAGCAGTTGTGTCGAGCTCGAGTATGACAGTGGGACTCTTTGTTAGTGCTTACACACTAGAGAGATTCACTTTATAACACAACATGTAATTGTCTCGCCCTTTAGGCTGACAAGCGAACTCCTAACCCCAAAAGGCTGAAGCGTAAGAAAAAAGAAAATAATACAACTACGTTAGAAGGTGGCACGTCGTCTTCCAGTCAGCATGGTGCCCCAGGAAGGGCTTCGGCCAAACTGCGGGTGCTGACAGCAAAAGTACTGCTGTCCAGACAGACTGATACTGTGGTGGTAAGTGCCCCCTCATGCCCTGTGGATTAGTGAAGGTGTAAAATCGAAGTGCCAGTTATTGAATCATGAAAAAAGTCACAATTAAATACGGGAAGTGGTAGGAAGTGCTTTGTCCCCCTGTTGTGAAGGGGACGTGAAATGTGTGTGTTCTGTGCTGCAGTAAACTTAATTTTGGAGAGCGTAAGACCAAAAAACAGTGGATGAGAGGAATTCAGTACTTAAACGCAAAGAACTGTTAGCAATTCTAAATGGAGTTGTTATAAATAGTATTGTGTACTAGGGGAATACTGTAGGGCTAGTAATAAACAGCAAAGAATTTGAAAATGATACTGAATTCTTCTCTGGTTTTGTTTAGCAAATTAGTTCCATCGTGGAGGAAAATAAAGCCCAAAGGAATCCTGGTTATGCTCGGCCTGCAGAGGTGGATGTGAGTGTCTATCCTGCTATTTTTTTTCATGATTAAAACCAAACAAATGGTTCTTCATGGCACAGTCCAATTCTGGCTATACTTACACTACAATATGAACTGCACAACAAACTACGGGTTAAATTCTTCTAGCTGGACAAGTGAAAAACTACAATAACAAGCTAGATATCTGTTTTGTGTTTTTATAATATTTTCTAAGGTAAAACCAGCATCTAGGAGCCTTTATTGCATTATCCCTTCGATACAAACAAACTTGACATTGAAATGCCAGTTTGAATTCTTTTGTCAGTCAATGTAGACAGTACTGCTGCGTCTCTCTGCAGGAATGGAAACGACCTCACTTTGATGCCATAGCTCCCAACCAAATCAGCAAACTGTAAAATCTTTTAGAAAAAGGGAAACTTAAAATAGACTATTTGTTTTGCACCAGATTATTTGGCAGGAAAACACTTTCCTAGTGTTGTTGCAAGCCTACTTGAGTTTCTGGATACTAGATTAAGAAATAGAGAACATTGGGGTCTTGTTGGAGGCTGAAGACAGGAATCACTGAAGTCCTAAATCGTATTTTTGAAGCGATAGAACATCTAGAACAAGTGTTTGCCTATTTGAATGATGTAACTGGTTTTGTATTTTGATGGAGCTGTAGCTTAGCTTGCCACCAGTGTGCAAAGCCTCATCTGGGGAAGACCTATTCCTGAATACCACAGCTCCGTATGTAAAATCAGAAGAAATTGTTCCTGCATCTTAGAAAAAGAAATTCCTCAAAGCCCAGAAGAAAAGAATATTTTTATGGTTCTAGTTGTATAGTGCTCAGTTTTGGTGTGCTAGTATATAATGTACTATGTATTTGAGCCTTATGGTATTCAGCTGAAGAGAATGTTATGCTTTGAAGCTTTCTGTCACCCTTTCTGATAGCATATTAAATGTACACAAGTAGTCTTAAATGTTTTCCAATGACAACCCTTGAAATCTGCATGTCATCTCTAATTTCTCTGGAAGAAAGCTAGGAGAGTATTTCTTCGATGGAAATAGTTGTGTGAATGAAATGTCGTTAATCTTTTCAGCCCCTGTGCGACAGACAAGAAATCTGCTCCATTGTCAGAACTTCACCACGCCAGAGGCCTTCCAGGCTTCCCAAAATTCCAGTTAACACAAAAGTGTTCCAGCCTCCCAAAGAAGTGCCTGAAGGTAAGAGAATATAGGATTGGTTCACTGTGCAGATGGTAACTGGGTAGTTGAGTGTTTAAAGGTTGGGGTTTTTTTTCCTTAAGTCTGGATATTTGGAAGAATCACAAGTCTAAAGAGTAAAAGGTGCTACTAGATCATTAAGGCCGGAAGGTGCTACTGGGTAACCCTGGGAGTATCTGCACCTTGTCAAGTTACTCCTAAACACCATGTGGAGCTTCACTGCTGGTATGGAGACTCGCGGGAAGAGATACCAACTTCTTTAGTAAATTATTATCCTGTGCCTTATTTCTAGGGTAAATATGGCTGATTTCAGCTTTCAGCCAGTGGTGGGGTTTATATCTTGCTCAGCTAAACTCAGCTCTTTAGCTTCCAGTTGTTTTTCCCCCTGACAGTAGTTCGAGCAATAGGGTATGTTTTTTCTCTAAAGATTATCAATTTCTCTCTAAAGGTTTCTGTTCTTATCTCCTGAGACCCTTAACATAGAGAAAGGTTTCTTCACTTCCTAGATTTTTGTTAAACAAAAATGGGAACTGTGTACAAAACTATCTCATCACTACCACAGAAGTAAAATCCTCTCCCTTTCCGATCTCTTGCAGTTTCTCAGCGTGACACTGGATGGCATATGTCTTCCTATTTAACGTAGTTCTTCACAGACGTTTGCAAGTTTTCTGCCAGTTAAAATTTGTCACTTACACTGTTTTAATACAGAGATACTGCATGAGTATAATAGCTTTCAATAATACTGAATATACACAAATTTTCAATGGAATTGCAGGCTCTGAAGTCCAAATACTCTCCTACTTTATTACAGACTGAGTTACACACAGCATCTAGAATGCAGGGAAGTGGTTTAAGTGTGTGTATGTATTAATTCATGACAGTCATCTGGTGCTTCTGTGCAGATCAGAGAACAAGGATGTTAAGTTATGTGCCTGGGAGAATTGTGGCGGTACAGAATGTAGGTTGTACTTGGTAGGCAAGTGGATCTCAGAAATCAGCAAGTGGTGGTGTCAGAGCAAAAGTTTGGGTTTGTTCCTGCTTTTCTAGAGAAAGTCCCAGGGAACTGGGAATTAGACTGTCTGGAGACAGTGATGGGGGTTTTTATGAGGGGTGTTTTCATATCTGCTGAAGGAATCTTTCAGGTGATGCTTTTTCATTAGGAATGTACATACACTCAAAACTGTTGCTCTCTTCTCGCTGCCACTTGACCTACAAGATTCAGATTCCTCCGAACAAGTGACAGCATAGGTATCTATTGGGCATCCCGACAGCTGGGCAGATCTGTGAGCTCTCTTACACTTGAGAATGTGCCACTTTACTGAGAGTATTTAACTTACCGCTTTTTTTCCACAGATATTATTACGAGTACCAAAAATTGGATCTACTGTAAACACAGATGAGATTTCTGGGTTTCAGCAGGGTCAACAGAAGAAGTAACTGTCTCGCTGCTGTGGCAGGGAGGTGAAACAGAACTACTAACCTGTAATTAATGACTGTATTGTTTTGGCATATACACTGTTTGAAATGTAGTTTAATGCTTTGCAGTAAGCTTGTAAATACTTCATTCACGTAGTTAATATTAAATTATTTTGTACAAGCAACTAGTTCTTATTCTATGCATTGTTCTGTAAGGATTCCATAAAGATGATTCTTCAGTTTGTTTAGAGTTTAAAAAAGTGTGACTCAAGAACAGCAGACTAGATTGCATTAATGGGATTATTTTGGGATCTTGTTCTGCCAAGATTTCTAGATTTCTCTAGTAGCATTTGCATCTAAAGTTGTGACCTCTACTTGAGTAAAGAAGTGTTAACTGTTTACAGAGGTAACTGCACGTCCTGGAAATGGGTCTGTAAAATGTTCCTGTACGCTCCGCGACTCCGAAGTCAGTAGCATGCTACCATTAAACTCCCTGAATGCTTAGATCTGCAGAACTTTGGAGGTGCAGAACTGTGTGTGCTCTGCTGTCAATTGACTTCTAAACATGAACATAGGTTGCCTTCCCCATCACTGCAGGCGAGCTTTTTGTGATCAGCACCATCCCCATCCTGGCACATCCACTGCCCAACCGCTGGCATCTCGGGTGTTTGTAATATCACCTATCTCGTTGTTTCTTCCAGTGCCTTCACACTTCTGCAGAGGAGGTAGGTGCCCTACATGAATACAAGGGTGGAAAAGAGGCTTTTAGAGCTCAGCTTTCTCAAGAGCTGGATATTGGTGTTCTGGATTTTGAGGGTACTGCTCAAACTACATGGCACATAGGTTAGATTCCCAGTTCTTCCAGTTCCACTTGTGGATCGTTAATCCATAAATGTCGTCTTCAGCGGTGTGCTGAATGCCTCAGGAAACACTGATGAGCACATTTTTTCTCCACTTGAATTCACTGCAGGCTGAAATAATTTGGATCTCTACAGTGTTCTCACTACGACACCCCTTACTCATTTTGTAGACATAAAGGAAGTTTTTCAATGTTTTAAAATGATAGTATGGCTTTCCAAACCTCTTGAAGTCTGAGTTTGTTTCTCAGTGGTTTTACCCAGAATATTTATGCTCTGGAAAATAGTTCTGTATTTCCAAAAAGACCGTGTCAAGGAGATGTATAAAATCTGCAACTTTAATTAGTTTAAATGCATTTGAAAATTACCTGTGGAAGTTCAGACCCTGAGCCTTTTCCCATTGCTCGGGGGTAGAAGGAAGTGCAAATAAATGCTGCTAGATTAGTCTATGAACAAGTATTGTATAAACATACTGTATGGCTCAAGGTTAGAAATTATGCCATTAAGTTATTTTTCCTTTTAAGCATGAGTAGAATGAGTTCTGCCAATAACTCCTTGGAGTTCTCTCCGGTATGGTTCTAATTATCAATATCCTTGTTCTTGCAAAGACTAAGCCACTGGTAATTATGCAAGAATCTAGAGCCCCTGGGAGATAGAGGTGAACTCCTTTATGTAGCTTTAAGCAAAATTGCAAGTTATGTATGTAGTCAGTTGTGATTAAGATGATTGTTCAAGTAAAGGATGGGCCAGAATAAAAGAAGTGTTTATCGTAAGAGAGTCCTAGGAAAAATTTACTTATTTTGTTCCAAAGCATTTTGTAGTTCCTGTGAAAGAAACAGACTAACAGTGACAAACTAACTGGAGAAGAAAATACAGCATGAAACTCTGGAGATGGCTGTAGCAGCCTGAATATTACTGAGTTCTGCTTTTGTTGATGTGATGAGGCTATATAGGAGGACAGGAATATGAACCCCAATCTCCTTGTCCTTCCCTTCAGTTACGAAAGTGCTTCTTCTTATTTTCGTCTTTTGTCTGACTCTTAGAGAAAGTGTAATTAATTACTAGGCTAGCTCTCTGCCTCAGGGAAGGAAATTTTATTCATTTTGAGGCCGCAACAATATCTACTCTTGTTCTGCTTTTGTCAAAGGGAAGGCATTTTCCCCTGTTTTGGTTTTAAACTGAAGAATGACTGCATAAAGTTTCATTCAAAGTGGAAACTGGCTCTTCCATATCAGTGGGTAAAGGTTATGGGTCACAGCCAGTGAATGGGCGGTTCAGAAGAGCTTATTTGTGCAGTGATTCAGGAGAGAAATCTGTTCAGTGTCAACAGGGCTGCTCTGTCACATCCCAGACATGATGAAGTCTTAATGGCTTGAATGGAATCGCTTGCACTGAGTCAGTCCACGCAGGAGCTCTGATAACACTTGAGCACCAGGAACTGTGCATGGGTAGCAGATGTATGAGACATAAATCTAGAAGAGGTTTTTCATCAAGGCTGTTTTGTTATTTCTGTTATCTGAGGTGTACTTCTGGGACTGAAAGCGCATGGAGACAGTGAAAGATGTTTTCTTCTTGCACTAGAAGGGGTACGTGGACTTGCTGTTGGAGGGGAACGACCCTACGTGCATACAGTTCTGGTTTGGTTCGTAATCTTGAGGTTTGGGGCCCAAGGCAGCGTGTACTGAAGGGACACACCACTAGTTGAAATTTATGTTCTTTGTGTAGGTACAAAGATTTACCTGCAGGGAGATTTTTTTTACAGGAAAATGGACAATTAAACTTACTTATCCCTCTTTTCCTTACTGTCCTTCCTCCGCTCCCTCGATTAAGGTATGTCAGTCAAGCTTATCGAAATCACTTGCTATTAATTTAGGACTTTTGGAACAGGTTAATATTTACTTTTAAAGGGACTCTTGAATTTTAAAGGGACAGCTTGAATTGTACCGCACCTGAGATTAGCTAAACTGTAACTGTGAACCTGCTGAAAGCCGAGTTGTATATCCTGGCTGAAATTCCATTATTTCGTAGTGTTGCCTGAGGACTTTTTGTATTTGAGACTTCATTTACGTGGCCATCTTGAAGCTGAGGCTTTCACATGGTGAAAGGATGTAAAGATTGGTGACCTGTAAATCTGCGGCGGGCAGGTGTATCTTCCATACAGAAAAAGGGGAAAAGGGTGCATCTAACCATTAATTTTTTGGTTTCTGTTATCTTCCAAATTCTAGTAGATGAAAAAGTTCCTACAGATGGCTGATTGTGAGGAGTCGTATGGATACGTTACACATGCACTAAACTATGCCTTTTAAAAAGAATCTGCTTAATTTAATCTTACGTCATATGCTGTTTAATTCCATTTTCTAGAGAAAGTTGATGAGTCAGTTTTGTCAGTCCTTAATTAAACTTTCTAGTAGTGTTGTACCCGAACAGTGAGACATGGCAGGAGGCTGTTAACTGTATCCAGCGTTTCCATTTCATTTAAATGCTTATTAATAAAGAGTTTTGCAGAAATCCCCAGGTTGTTTTGCTTTTGTAAGATCTATCACACTTTTTTTTTTTCCTTATATATTTGTTCTGGATTCACTTGCTGGATATTATGTCCTAAATACTATTTTGTAGATGGATGTTTTTTATTTGTCATGGTGGCTTCCTCTGCATGCAAATACACGCCGTTCACTTTCCGTGTGGGTTTTGGAGTGAATCCGAGCTCTGTGCTATTTCTGGTGGTGCTGTGGGAGAATCGCTTCGTGTACGTGGGGTGGGGGGAAGAAAGGGGGCTGGATTTCCCGGGTTTGGGGGTAAAAAGCCACCCGTCGTGCAGGGGGGCAGCAGAGCCGAGTCCCTAAAGCGCCTGGGTGCAGCAGCAACCAGGGATTTGATGCCGGGCTCTTGATCTGTTTCTTCTTTGGCTTTAGAAAGAAAACAAACCGCCCCGAGGGGAAACACCTCGGCCCTGCCCGCTCCCCACGGAGCCCCGCGGCGGTCGGGGCAGGG